ACAGTTGTGAGATGATATTTCATTGTGTCTTTTATTTGCATTTTCCTAAACATTAGTGATGTTGAACATCTTTTCATATATCTGTTGCCATTTGCATGTCTTCTTTGAGAAATATCTACTCAGGTTCTTTGTCAATTTATTTAACAATTCTTGTTATTGAGTTGTTTTCTTTGAGAAATATCTACTCAGGTTCTTTGTCAATTTATTTAACAATTCTTGTTATTGAGTTGTTTTAGTTTTATATATATATATATTATATATATATAAAATATATATTTTATATATATTTAAAGTATATATATATATATATTTGATTTTAACCCCTTGTTAGAAACATGGCTTGCAAATATTTTCTCCCAAGCTAAAGGTTGCCAGGTTTTGTCTTTTCACTCGTTAACGCTTTTTCATTTGATATAATCCCATTTTTCTAGTTTTATTTTTGTTGCCTGAGTTTTTGGAGTCAAATCCAAAAAAATCATTGCTCAGGCCATTGCCATCCAGTTATTCATCCATGTTTTCTTCTAGTAGTCTTACAGTTTCAAGTATTACATTTAGGTGTTTAATTGATTTTTTCAATTGATTTTTGCATGTGGTGTGAGAAAAAGGGCCGGTTTTATTCTTCTGCAGGGGGATACCCAGTTTTGTCAATAACTTCTATTGAAGGGACTGCTTTTTTTTTTTTTTTACCCATTGTATATTCTTGGCCACTTTGTTGAAAACCAACTGACCGTAAATGTGTGGGTTAATTTTAGGACTCTCTATTTTGTTCCACTGATTGATGTGCCTATTTGTATGCTGACTGGTATTTTAAAATTTTTCATTTTTCATTTCTATCATGTAAAGGGTCATTTATGATTGGCAGATTATAAACTGAATAATAATAAAGAGGGTGGTGGATATGGCAAATTAAATCACTTGGTTCTAATTATTCACCTCCTTCACTCTCACTCTTTGTCATATAACTGTCCAGTGCCAACTCATTGTGGGCAGGAAGACCTATCCTTGCCTTCTAAATCAGAACTTAGCCTTGGGATTCACAATCATTACGTGTTAGCAGAAGTGAAGTCATAAAATCTTGAAGATATCTTTGTATATTTTTCTTGTTATCTTGTACCTCTGTCATCTCCCTGAAAACATGCTGGTGATGACACGTTGGAGGTTTAGAGCTATATGGAGAGAAAAGCTGAGAGTATTAATGGCCCAGTCACCCCAAGCAAGAGCAACCTAAATAAGTTGACAGTCAGTCAGCCCCACATATGGGACTGAGCATGGCAGGAATTGCCAACCAAGAGCAATCTAAATCTCTTACTCCCAGACTCATGAGGTGATTAAGGGTTTATTGTTTAAAGCTGTTGAGTTTTGTCATGGTTATTAGGAACACTCGTAATATGAATGTAATAAACTGTTTTAACATTACATTGGGGAAGAAAGTCTTGCTGGAAGAAAAATGGAATTTTGACTTGAGTAATAATTCAGCAATGCCTTTTTGGCATTTGTATTAGTATTTAAGATACCATGAAATACTCTGTAGTGTAATAAAAAATAAAATAGTGTCAGAAAATGGAGAGCCACACTCAGAAATACAGTGTGCAGAATGTTCCAGAATAAGAAAACAAAACAAAACAAAACAAGATATGAAGTAACAGGTGGGATTTGGATCATTCTAGAAGTAAGAGGAATGACATCTAATAAGATTTGAGTTTGCCATAAGCATGAAAGTTGATAAGATGTAGACTTCATGTTTTTAAATAGACTTTAGAGCAGTTTCACATTCATAGAAAAATTGGGGACAAGGCACAGAGTTCTCACATACTGCATTGTCCCATACATAAACAACCTTCCTCCCTCAATATCATACACCAAGAGGTATGTTTGTTACTATCAGTGAATCTACATTGACACATCATTATCACTCAAAGTGCATAGTTTACATTAGGGCTCACACTTGGTGTTGTATATTCCCCGGGTTTGGCGAATATATAATGACTTGTATCTACCATTGTGGTAGCATACAGAGTGTCATTGCTCTAAAAATCCTCCATGCTCTGCTATTCATTCTTCCTTCCACTTTAACCCTTGACAACCACTGATCTTTTTACTGTGTCCATAGTTTGGCCTTTTTTCAGGATATCATGTAGCTGAAAGCATACAGTGTGCAGTGTGTAGTATTTTCAGATTGACTTATTTTACTTACTAATGTCCATTTATGTTTCCTCTTTGTATTTTCATGGCTTATTTCCGTTTAGAGTTGAATAATGTTCTATTGTCTGGATGCATCACGGTTAATTTATTATTCACTTGCTGAAAAAAACCTCTCAGTTGCTTCCAAGTTTTGAAAATTATGAGTAAAGTTGTTATAAACATCTGTGTGCAGATTTTTATGTAGACGTAAATTTTTAGCTCATTTGGTTAAATACCAATGAATGTGATTGCTGGTTGCTATGGTAGGATTATGTTTTGTATTGTAAGAAACTGCCAGTCTTCTAAAGTCACTGTACCATTTTGCATTCCCATCAACAAATGAGTGTTTGTGTTACTCCGTATCATCCCTAGCATTTGCCATTCTTAGTGTTTTAAATTTTAACCATTCTAATAGATGTGTCTGAGTGTCTCATTATTGTTCTAATTTACATTTCTCTGGTGGTACATCTTTTTATATGCTTATTTTTCATCAATATATCTTCTTTTGTCAGGTGTCTATTCAAGCCTTTTGCCCATTTTGGGGGGTTATTTTTCCTATTATTGAACTTTTAGGGTTCTTGATATATTTGAATCGCAGTCATTGATCAGATATATCTTTGGCAAATACTCTCTTCCAGTCTGTGTCTTCTACATTCATTCAGCAAACAGTGTGTTTCACCACAACAGGAATTTTTAATTGTATTGAGGTTCCGTTTATTAATAATTTCTTTCATTCATTGTCTTTGGTGTTGTGACTACATATATTTTAACTGGAATTTCTCAGTTATTAATGTGGGAAGCTGAAACAATATGTTTTAAATGTTGACATAATGTCATCTTTTCTAAGGCAAAAAGAGAAATAAGGAGCATGCAAAAGAAATGATCATCACAATTACAATAAATAATATTTCTTATTTATTAAGTTTCTGGAACTAATTAAGACACATTTAATATTTTATTTTATCCTCACTACAACCAATATAAGTGGTATTAAAACACAGCAATTGTTTTGTAAATTAGGAAGTTGGAAGCTCAGTTAGTGAGGTTACATAGCATTCCCAAGGTCATATAGTTGGTTAGTGATAGAGCCAGGATTCAAACACAGAAAGCTCCAGGATTAAACCCAGTAAGGATTCTATGAAACCAAAGTATTTACTTAACTTCCTCAGGAAAGTTTCTAGAAAACAATAAGCAAATGGCCAGCCTTCCGAGATGTGGACGTCGCTGAGTTCCAGTGATGTGAAGAAATTAGGCGAATACATTTTTCTGTTTCTGGCTTACAGCCCAAGATACTGGAGCCTTCCTCCTCTCATACCTTCTTATCATTTAATTATTAACAGTCTTAGCTAATCATTAATTATGCACTGTCAATTATGCTTATATTATTATTTGAAATAGATACAATATATGACTGATTTGACTAAAATTACCCCTTTGTTTAATTGTCAATTTGCATAAATTCAGATGCAATGAGATGTTGCATAGTGATTCATCAGGCATTGAAAGCAGAAGCAACAACCTGAACGACGGGAGGCTCAGTCTCACAAATTATTGCCATTTTCATCAGGAAAGGAATTCCATTATGACTGACTTTCCTTAGTCTGAAATTGTGATGAGGAGTTTGCAAACTTGAGCCATCATAGGTTTTATAGGGTGACACTAAAGGCGAACACGTATCTATGACCACTGGCAAGACATCTGTCCTGCACATAATTGAAACTTTCTCCTGTGCTGGTCCAGTGCCTTCATAGCAGGGCAATAGGTTTCCATGCTGGTGCTCTCATTATAGGGATGGCTGTCTGAATGTGATCCTTGAGTCTAGGGAGTTGAATGACTCACTTCCCCCACTTACTGTAAAGTGAAATTTCAATTGAAGGTGAGTGACGTGAACTAGCAAATTTGCTTCAAAGCTGTTTTCCTATGCTTCCATAGTAATAACATTTTGAAGTGCCTACTATGTGCTAGTCGTGTATTAGGAATTATGAGTAATTGCTCACATTTAATAAAAACAGCTCTATACAAATTTATGGTGCTATCATAGTTTTAGAAGTCACAAGTTTAACAAGTGTCAAACCTGCAATATATTCTAAATTTAGTGGACTCAAAAATCTTCTGTGTTATAACTCTAGTACCTATAGGGTATTAACTGGCACATCTAGAAAAGTAACTTACGTTGTTTTCATATTTAATAAGTACATATTTTTTAAAGTATATTAAGACATATATTCTTCTATTTCTAGTGGGGCTCTGTTATTTAAGCCACTACTGATACAAAGTTGTTTTCAGGCAAAGCATAATAACATATGTTCTGAATTTTTAAAATTTTATTATATTTTTAATTGAAAAATAATAATTGTATATATTTATGGTATACAATGACATTTTAGATACCTGTATGCATTGGGGGATGATTAATTTTATCTAACTAACATATCCATCACCATACTTATCATTTGTTTTTGGTGACAACATCTAAAATCTACTCTTTCAGCAATTTTGAAATATACATTATTAATAGCTATAGTATTTGTTACAGCCTAATAATAAGGGATATTTAAATAGTGCTACAGTTTCAAAATAATTCAAATTTACAGAAAGTAACACAATCTCTATTACATTATTAGAATTTAGGGAGTAATATTATAATACCCATTTTATAGACATGAAAATTCAGAAATTTACTTACCCAAAACTGTAAAACTCATAAATGAAGAACTTAAATAAAAGACTTGTATTTCCCAAGTCTATCCTCTTTCCTCTCATCTGTACTTCAGTGCTTTAATTGTTTTCTCTTTTCTCTTTTTTAAATTTAATTTTAGGTGATCAGCGTGCTCATGGATGGCTTCTGACTCTCCAGGTTTCCTTGCAAGGGTACTCAAACGTGTGTATGTGCAGTGAGTATTAAAGGCTAAGATACTTTTCTATGAAGTCTCCATCTTATTAGAATTTATTTCCCTTGATTCCTACACTAAAAGGATCTAGGAAATATTGCTTTCTTTGTAAATTGTTCTTCTTGCTTCTTCACACCAGAATTAATGTGCCATCATACCTTTGAATGCTGAGAAACCTGTGCCATCCTGTCTCCTCTGCTAGCTATTAACTAGACAAATATTTTTTCTGGACATTTTTATTGTATCTTTGACCAATTTCCCCACATAATAAGCAAATTACTATGTAGGAAACTGCCAACATGGCTTAAAAGTTAACAAACATTCATTAGGTTTAAGGTCCTAAAAAAATTGAATAATAGTGTACATTAAAAAAGTAATAAAATAATAAATAAATGTGCATCAAGAAATGATGTATATTAAAATAACCAGTAGAATATTTTGGAAAGAAAAATATATAAAAAATCAAATGAATCTAGGAGCTAGTTTTTCAAAAAGATTAGCAAAATAGGTAGACTGCTAGTTAGACTAATAAAGAAAAGAGAGAAGAATCAAATAGACACAATAAAAAATGATAAAGGGTATATCACCACTGATCCCACAGAAATACAAATTACCATCAGAGAATACTGTAAACACCTCTATGCATATAAACTGGAAAATCTAGAAGAAATGGACAAATTCCTGGACACATACATCCTCCCAAGACTAAACCAGGAAGAAGTCGAATCCCTGAATAGACCAATAACAAGTTCCAAAAAGGAGGCAGGAATTAATACCCTACCAACCAAAGAAAGCCCGCGAACAGACGGATTCTCAACCGAATTCTAACAGAGGTGCAAAGAGGAGCTGGTACCATTTCTTCTGAAACTATTCCGAACAATAGAAAAAAGGGACTCCTCCCTAACTCATTTTATGTGGCCAGGGTCATCCTGATACCAAAACCTGGCAGAGACACAACAAAAAAGGAAAACTTCGGGCCAATATCCCTGATGAACATCTATATAAAAACCCTCAATAAAATACTGTCAAACCGAATCTAACAGCACACCAAAAATCTTATCCATGACAATCAAGTCAGCTTCATCCCTGGGATACAAGACTGATTCAACATACATAAATAAATAAATGTAATCCATCACATAAACAGAACCAATGACAAAAACCACATGAATATCTCAATAGATGCAAAAAAGGCCTTTGATAAAATTCAACATTCCATCATTCTAAAAACACTCAATGAACTAGGTATTGATGAAACATATCTCAAAATAATAAGAGCTGTTTATGACAAACCCATAGCTAATATCATGCTGAATGGGCAAAAGCTGGAAGAATTCCCTTTGAAAACTGACACAAGACAAGGATGCCTTCACTCACCACTGCTATTCAACATAGCATTGGAAGTTCTGGCCAGGAAAATCAGGCAAGAGAGTGAAATAATGGTTATTCAAATAGGAAGAGAGGAAGTCAAATTGTCTCTCTTTGCAGATGACATGATTATATATTTAGAAAACCCCATCATCTCAGCCCAAAAACTTCTCAAGCTGATGAGCAACTTTAGCAATGTCTCTGGATAAAAAAAAATAAATGTACAAAAATCACAAGCATTCTTATACACCGACAATAGACAAGCAGAGAGCCAAATCATGAGTAAGCCCCCATTTAAATTGCTACAAAAGAGAATAAAATACCTAGAAATACTTAGGGACCTGAAGGACCTCTTCAAGGAGAACTGCAAACCAGTGCTCAAGGGAATAAGAGAGGATACAAACAAATGGGAAAAAATCCCATGCTTATGGATAGGAAGAATCAGTATTGTGAAAATGGCCATACTGCCCAAAGTAATTTACAGATTCAATGCTATTCCCACCAAGCTACCATTGACTTTCTTTGAAGAATTAGGAAAAACACTTTTATATGGAACCAAAAAAGATCCCATATAGCAAAGACAATCCTAAGCAAACAGAGCAAAGCTGGAGGCATCAGTCTACCTGACTTCAAACTATTCTACAAGGCTACAGTAACCCAAACAGCATAGTACTGGTACCAAAACAGATATATAGACCAATGGAACAGAATAGAGACCTCAGAAATAACACCACACATTTACAACCATTTGATCCTCGACAAACCGACAAAAACAAAACTGACTAGCCATATGCATAAAACAGAAACTGGACCCCTTTTTTACACCTTATACAAAAATTAACTCAAGATGGATTAAAGACTTAAACATAAACCCAAAACCATAAAAACTCTAGAAGAAAACCTAGGCAATACCATTTAGGACATAGGCAAAGACTTCATGACTAAAACACCAAAAGCAATGGCAACAAAAGCGAAAATTGACAAATGGGATCTAATTAAACTAAAGAGCTTCAGCACAGCAAAAGAAACTAGCATCTGAGTGAACAGGCAATGGAGAAAATTTTTGAAATCTGCCCATCTGACAAAGGTCTAATATCCAGAATCTATAAGGAACTTAAAAAAAATTGCAAGAAGAAACAATCCCATCAAAAGTGAGTGGAGGATATGAACAGACACTTCTCAAAAGAAGACATTCATGTGGCCAACAAACAGATGAAAAAAAAAAAGCTCATCATCACTGGTCATTAGAGAAATGCAAATCAAAACCACACTGAGATACCATCTCATGCCAGTTAGAATGGCAATCATTAAAAAGTCAGGAGACAATAGATGCTAGCAAGGCTGTGGAGAAATAGGAATGCTTTTACACTATAGGAGTATAAATTAGTTCAACCATTGTGGAAAACAGTGTGGTGATTCCTCAAGGATCTAGAATCAGAAATACCATTTGACTCAGTAATCTTATTACTGAGTATATACCCAAAGGATTAGAAATCATTCTACTATAAATATACATGCACACGTATGTTTATTGCAGCACTATTTACAACAGCAAACAGCTGGAACCAAGCCAAATGCCCATCAATGATAGACTGAATAAAGAAAATGTGTCAACCATAAAAAAGAATGAGTTCATGTCCTTTGCAGGGACATGGATTAAGCTGTAAGCCATCATTCTCAGCAAGTTAACACAGAACGGAAAACCAAACACCGCATGTTCTCACTCATAAGTGGGAGCTGAACAGTTAGAACACATGGATATAGAGAGGGGAATATCACACAGTGGGGCCTATCCAGAAGTGGGGGCAAGGGAAGGGAGAGCATTAAGACAAATACCAAATGCATGTGCAGCTTAAAACCTAGATGACGGGTTGATAGGTGCAAGAAACCACCATAGCAAATGTATGCCTATCTAACAAACCCACATGTTCTATACATTATCCCAGAACTTAAAGTAAAATTTAAAAATTTTTAAAAAAGAAAATATATACATGCATTGAAATATAACGTATACACAACAGGTGGAATAATAGTAAACGTATGTATGGTTAGATTGGATTTCGAAATTGGAAAACAGCACTGAAGAATTTATCAATAAAATGTGTAGGGAAGACCACTTATTTGATAACACAATAGGGTGATGACATTCAATAATAACTTAATTGTATATTTTAAAATAACTTAAAGAATGTAAAATAACCTAAAAAATGTAATTAGATTGTAACTCAAGAGAAATATCTTTAGGGGAAGAATAAAAAAATACAAGGAAATTAAAAAATTAAAAATATGAAGAATAAATTTACAAGCATAGATAACACTGAAGAAATTTTTGATAGTTTCCTAATAGAATGACAGGGATAACATTCAGGGAAATATAACTGAAACTATTGTTGAATTAAAGAAGTACATGAATTATCTTAGTGCACTGACTTTATACTGAGTATATAATGGGACAGAAACATGTTAAGGATAAAGAAAAATCTCTAAAACCCAACTAAAGAGAAAATATACATAAAAAGGAAAAAAAAATATTATTGAAAATAAAATTATTACAGTAAAATTACTATAAAACAAATAACTTTCAACATAAAATTTCCTAGCCATTGAACATATGATTCAGACAAGACTATTACATGAAATTTTCAGATATACAAAGAATATATACTACCAATAGATTCTTACAAATTACCCAATAATGTATTTCAAATCAGAAAACCCAACAAAAATAACAAAATATGAACACCTCATCAATCTTGGGTTTTAAAAAAACAGAAATAAAAAAAACCAATTCAACAAATTATACACTATCAAATTATAATCGTCTGATATAGTTTAGCTGTGTCCCCACCCAAATCTCATTTTAAATTGTAATTCCCATAGTCCCCACATGTTTTGGGAGGGACTAGATGGATGGTAATTGATGGGGCAGATTCTCCCATGCTGTTTTCCTAGTAGTGATTTCTCATGAGATCTGATGGTTTTATAAGCATCTGGCATTTCACCTGCTGGCACTCATTCTTGTTCTGTCCTGTCACTCTGTGAAGAAGATGCCTGCTTCTCCTTTACCTTCCACCATGATTATAAGTTTCCTGAGACTTCCCCAGCAATGCAGAACTGTGAGTCAATTAAGCCTCTTTTCTTTATAAATTTCCCAGCCTTGAGTATTTCTTTATCGGTAGCATGAAAACAAACTAATACAGTAAAAAGGTATCACAGAGAGTGAGGCACTCCTGTTAGAATGCCCAAGAATGTGGAAATGCCTTTAGAACCAGGTAACAGGCAGAGATTGGTACAACTGGAGGACTTAAAAGAAGCCAGGAAAAATCTGAGAAAGTTTGGAACTTCCTAGAGACATGTTGATTGGTTTTGACCAAAATGCTGATAGTGATATGGACTATGAAGTCCAGGCTGAGGTGGTCTCAGATGGAGATGAGCAACTTCCTGGAAACGTGAGTAAAGGTCACCCTTGCTATGCTTTAGCAAAGAGACTGGCAGCATTTTGCCCCTACCCTGGAGATCTATGGAACTTTGAAGCTGGAAGAGATAATTTAGGGTATCTGGTGGAAAAAAATTGCTAAGCAGCAAAACATTCAAAGAAAGCAGCACATAAAAGCTTGGAAATTTTTCAGCCTGCC